CAATGAAGGTTGTTAGGATTTCCGCGTCCGTGACTTACATCTGTCTTGGAGTATAAGCAAGGGTTAATTTCATCTTCATCCTACCTCGGTCGGACTGTGAAGGCGAGCTGTGGACACACTTGCTCCTGTTCCTGTCCTCCCTCTCATTTTTAAAATAATTTAAAAATTGTTTAATTGTGGTTAAAAAAACTCATGACATAAAATTGACCATTTTAACCATTTTTTAAGCTACAATCTAGTTGTGTTTGGTATCTTCACACTGTTTTGCAACAGACTGGGGCTCATGTCCTTTTGGTGACAGAAACAAAAGTTTTTGCAGTTACGTGGACAGAAAGTTCTTCTTCTGCTGCTGCTGCTTCTTCTTCTTTTGCTGCAGAAGATTGGCCCTGAGCTAACAACTGTGCCAATCTTCCTCTATTTTGTATGTGGGTCACTGCCACAGCATGGTGGCCAACCAATGGTGTAGGCCCGCACCCAGGAACTGAACCCAGGCCATCGAAGTGGAGCATGCTGAACTTAACCACTAGGCCACCAGGGCTGACCCTGGATATGTTTCATTTTCCTCATTGTATTTTTATTTTCATCCGTATTGATATAATTAGCATGTTGGTATACAATTTCGTGGATGTTATTATTTAAAAACCGAGTTGAGCTTATCTTAGATGAGTCGTTTTAAGGAAAAATATTAAGTAAATAAAAGTGTAGGTGGAGTATGCATACGGATGGAATTATGACGTAGTACAAGAAAGTCTGAGGTTTGGGGACATACCAACCTGCTACATCCTCCTCCTCCCCCAGGACTCCGTTTAACCATCTCTTCCCCATGGGGCTTCTTTCCCCTCTGTCCTCAGACTAGGCTAGCTTGCAAGTCATAGGCTCTGAACGTTTTTCACTGTTCCTTTCCATCAAAGTTCTCTGAGAGGCAAGTAACTGAATCCCAAATCAAACTGGTTTGGGAAAAACAAAATACAGGCTCACCTAACACAGAATCTGAAGGACTAGAGCCCACTTCAGGCACAGCTGAATCTAGGTGTGTGAATGATGTCATCAGAAATCTCTGTCCATCGACTAGCTATACTTTCCTATGTGTTGGCATCATTCATAGGCAGCCTGTTGGCTCATGGTAGAAACAGGGCCCCCAGCAGCTTCACACTCAGATCCTCTCAGTTTAGCAAGCCCAACGGAAAGGAGACGCTTTATTCCCTAGGGCCTGCTTTGGGTCACGTGCCAGCTCTGGAGCAATCACCGGGACGTAAGGTTGAAATGCTCGGATTGGCCAGGCTTGGGTCACATGTTCAGCCCTCACCCAATCACTGTGGTTGGAGGATGAAGTGCTCTGATTGGCCAGCCCTGGGCCCCTCCCACTGCCCCGGGAGCAGGAGGAGGCCGGTTTCTCAAAGGGGACCCCAGATGCTGGTACCCAAAGGAAAGAGAGGGAATGATGCTGGACGAGCGGACACCACAGGGTCCCCGTCCACACGATGGTCGTCAATCGAGTCGCAAATATTGCTTATCACCCATCAGTGGTCCCTGGGCCTGGCGAGTCGCCCTAGCAGCGGCCTTCAGAAAAATCATAAAAGAGGCTGTATGGCTAACGCTAATAAAGTCACAAAGAGTCACTCGATAAGGACTATTTTTAGAAACTCATGGGTGACACTTTGCCCCAGGGTGGAACCTGGACCTCCCTGGGAGGGAAAAGCGTGAGCTTCCGAGTCAGACAGATCTGAGTTCAAATCCCAACGCTTCCATTATACTCATTCACTTATTCATTCATTCACTAAAAAGACATTTATTGAGTCCCTGTGACGTGCCAGGCACAGTTCTAATCACTGGTACACAGTCCTACCCTCCTGGATCTGACATTCTAGTTAGGGAGGTGGGCGTGGGGGAGGGGAGGCCGATAATAAACAAGTGGACAAAGAAATAAATAATTTCAGATAGTAGGAAATATTGGAAAGAAAACAAAACCGTGTGACATGCTAGCAAGGAGCGGGGGCCTGACATGCAGCAGGCATTAGGGAAGGCCTTTTAGAGGAGGTGATATGTCACTTGAGACGGGAATAATGAGATGCAGTCAGCCATGAGACGACTTGTGTAAGGTTCTAAGAAGAGGGAGCAGCAAGTGCAAAGGCCCTGAGGTGGCTCCCTCCAAGAACTGACAAAAGCCACTGTGAATAGCTGGGTGAATCCAAAATTCAGAAGATAGCGTGAGCAAGGCCCTAAGAAAGGGCTTCTGAGCATGCACCCAGGACACCCTGGATCTCTGTAAAAATAATTAGCATTATTCTAACAGCTACCGCCATTCATGGAGCGCCTCCTATATGCAAGGCCCTGTGCTGGGCACTTCCTGTCCAGAGGCCTCTCTGACTCTGCAGGAGGCGCTGTTATTAACATGCCCCTTTTACAGAGGAGAAAAACTCAGGCTCTGAGCTGGTAGTCAGGGAGTCTGGAGGAAAGTGAGGAAGCCAGCACGAGGCCCCGCCACCTCCTGCCCAATAACCTTCGGCCATTCCTTGCCCCCAACGTGGGGTGACAGAGGCCAGACAATTCTGCTCCCCACCATCTTCTTCATTCTTCCGGTGTGGGGCGCCGGGAGAGGGGCAGAGAGGGAAGAGAGCAAAACCCCGAGCCCCTTCTCCAGGAACCCAGCTCCCGCCGGCTCCCCACCCACCACTACCACCAACCCGTGGGAGAGAACAGGGCAGGTCTGGGGGTGACTTCCCGGCCCGCCACCGCTGGGGGCGGGGCCAGGCTGGGGGTGGGGTGGGGCCAGGCCTGGGCGGGGCCAGGCCTGGGGGCGTGGCCAGGGCGGGGTGGGCGTGGCCAGGGCGGGGTGGGCGGGGCCAAGCCTACGTGCTTGTCAGTGCTGGTCTGGAAGACCCCCCCTCCTCACAGAGCGAGCTCCCATGCGCATCCCCTGGACGCACCTTGGCGTGAGGACCCGCTCCGGCCACAGCCCTGCCTGGCATAGGCTGCTCCTACCAGGTGCATGAGAGCCAGGGGCTTCACCCACCGGTTGGGGACAAGGAGAGGACACAGCCGGGGAGAGTCTGTATCTAGGGCCCCCCACTCAGAGCCCCGACTCTGGTCAGTATGGAGCCCGTGCAGCACAGGCACCCGACGCCCGGGAGCTCTTGGCATCTCGAAGACGCTCTGCTCTTGACCCTGTTACAGAGAAGGAAGGGGAGGCGCAGAGGAAGGCGGGGTTACCTGCCCGAGATCGTAGGGACCACAAGGGCAGAATCAGAATTCAGGACCCCAGCGGAGCTTCCACCAGAGCACCCTGTCTCACCCCAGCTATGCACACCTAATAAAAATATAAACAATAATAATAATGAATAATAACAACAATCCTAATTTTTTTTAGAAAAGGTCATTGTTACTTCCGCAAGCCAGTCTGTTCTAAGTGCTTTCACGTAGCAACATTTCCTCCTTACCCTATGAGACAAGGGCTATAAGATCCCCATTTCTCAGAGGGGGAAACTGAGGCACAGAGCGGTTATGTGCCCTCTGCAGGCCACACAGCTTGGAAGTGGCAGAATGAGAATTTGAACCCAGATGGTCTGGCTACTGAGACCACACACATCCGCTTCTCTGAGAGTAAATGAATTGCCTCCTTTTCCAGGTCTTAAAAAATCCAGTTCTCTGTGATTTCAAAACCCCCAGCTCCACCCAGTTTCAAGCTTTGCCTCAACGCCAGCTCAAGCCTGGGTCAGAGTGCAGTGAGGCCATGTTGGGGCACGTGGGCCTCATCCCTATTTCTCTCTTTGGATCCTTTCTCCCCGCCCAGAGCTGTGGTCCACAGGAAGGCAAGGAAGCCGGCAGGACAATATCTCCTTGGCCCCTATAGTTGTAAGGTGGGGACAAGGCCTTCCGTGTGGCTGAGGCCCAGTTGCTGCATCTTTCTGGGTGGGGTGATTCTTTGGGGACCCCTGTCACTGGAGAGTGTATTCCCGAAGCTTCCATGAAGTGAGCCCACTGAAGACTCGCCCGCCATCTCCCGGCCCCTCCAGCCTCTTTGCACCCAGAAAGCCCTCTCCCAGGAGCCTCTTCGCCAGGACGGCCTCCACTGGCTCCCTTCAGAGGCATCCCCCACTGGCTCATGGGAAACACGTGCACATCTTTGCCGTCCCACCAGACCCTGGAGGTGTACGGACCTCTTCCCTCCATCCCTCACCTGGGGACTTACCGGTCTAATTCCCATGGACTCCCTTGGAGCCTCCCTCACTTGGCCTGTGGAGGAGGAAAGCTCGGTCCTCCCCCCCCCCCCCCAGGGCACTCACGGTTCATTCTCGACTGGAGGGCCCATTCTTCTTCTGAAGTCCTACCTCCACCCGTCCGCCGGGCTGTCTCTCAGCCTGGAACTTGTGCAGCCTCTGAAACCAGAGCCCCCAGTGTGCAAAGTCCTGCTCCATCGCCTCCCAGCTGCGTGTCCTTGAAAAGTCACCCCCCCGCCCCCATCTCTGTGCCTCGGTGTCCTTGTCCGCAAAGCAGGGTCACAGGAGAACCAACACATAGGGTGGTTGTGAGGATGAGGTGAGGAAATCCGGTAGCTTTTTCGAGCTTTTTCCGTCATGACCCACAGTGAGAAACGCATTCCACGTCATGAGCCAGCGTGTCACACACGCGCCACGAGGAACCGAGGGACGGATGTCATGAGAGAGCAGTTGTTGCTCTGAGGGAGGCGTTCTGATGTTTTCTATCACATTTCATTTCGTGTGTAAATGCTGATTACAACCTTCTAAATGGTTTCGCCAGGCGCGGGTCTCACACAGTCTAAAAGCTTTGAGTTAACGTGTGTTCAGCATGGTCCTCGGCTCGTAGGAAGAGGCCAATCCAGGTGGCTGTTACGTTGACTCTTGTTTCTACACCTGGTCCAGTCTTGCTCCTCCTGAAGCTTAGCTCAGGCACCGCCTCCTCCAGGAAGCCTTCCGTGACCTCTCTGGTTGGGCTAAAGTTCTTTTCGCTTATATTGCACCGAAATCGGAAATCCGCTTGGCATGGAGGTTCCCGGCCCCGATGTCAGTTTTTGCAAGTTCAACTTCCCACCGTGTCTGCCTCTGACCACGAGGCCTGGCCCTGAGAAACCCCAGGCCTCAGAGTCTTTCACCCGAAAGAAACCTGGAAAGAGAAGCGTGGTGGGGGTGTGTCTGCCCCGTCTCGGTAAAGAGCGATTCCCGAAGCCGGTGACTCGGCCCCAAGCTTTCGAGGCCCCCTGATGCCTCCCTTTCTCTCCCTGCCACGTCCAATCCATCAGCAAATCCTGCGGGCTCTGCTTTCAGAATAATCCAGAATCCAACCGCTCCTTCCAGCTCCTCAGCCTCACCCTGGTCCAGCCGAGGGCGGGGGCGCTGGGGGCTTTATATACAGGCCCAGGTCAGTCGTTGTGGGAGGCTGTGCTCGAGTGTCCCCACCCTCCGGCGCTCTGGCCTGCACCTCCAAGGGCAGAGGAGCCAGTGAAGGCCCTTGGACAACAGATGCTGGCAGCTGGACGTGGTGAGGATAGGGGCTGGGGTGGGCGCACCCACCGTGTCTACACCCGGTGTCTGAGCAGCACCGGGCCCAGACCAGGCGTGCCACACACATCTGTTGGTGAGTGAATGAATGAAGGAGTGAACGAATGAATGCCTCTGTGGTGGAGGGAAGTGCTCAGCCTCTCTGAGTGGTCTCCATCCATGTGGCCTTGCTCCCTGCTCGCACAGCCAGCTCTCACTGGATGCTGCTGCTGACACTCCTGGGGACAATCCAGCGCCTCGTCCAGAGTGGCCTCAACCACTCGGGGTCCTGTCATAGGTGGTTTCCATCAACCCCAGCCCTGCGCTGCACTGGACCCTCAACGGGGAGCCCCGTGGGACCGGGGACAAGCTGATCATCTGGGAGTTGTCCTGGGAGCACCTGGACCCCTGGGTGTGCATGACCAGGAACAGCCAGGGACAGTATTTCTCTCAGCCTGTGACCACCTCGCTGCCATGTGAGCCCCGCGGCCCCCCACCCCAGACCCCTGCACCCTTGCCGGTCAGAGGACGGCTTTCCTGGTTCCTTGGAGCCACCTTCTACGAGCAGTGCCCTCTAAGACCTTTCAGAGCCAAGACGCCATCCCGTTCTTCCATCCACCTGCAGAGTGGGGATTCTAACCCATTTTACACCTGAGAGGCTGCAGCTCAAAGAGATGAACTCGAAAGCTCAGCCCAGCATCTGGAGCCAGCTGCCTGGGCCCCGGCTCCAACCATGTGCTGACTGTGTGACCTCGGCTAGCATCTCTGCCTCTCTGAGTCTCAGCACATGCCTGCAAAAAAGTGCAGGTGATGATATAACCAGCAGTTCTGAGCGTGGGCTTTGGAATTTGAATTCTGGCTCCACCACTTCCTGGCTGTGTGACTTTGGCCCAGTGCCTTGACTTCTCTGTGCCTCAGTTTCCTCCTTTATAAAATTAGGAAAATAATAGTGCCCACCCCAAAGTGTAATTGTGAGCATTCAATGAGATATAAGCAGATGGGCAGCTCACAATAGCAGCACTTCTGAACCCAAGCGAGTGCTGGACAAACATAAGCCAGCATCATTGCTGCGATTGGCATTATCCATATTATTATTAATTTTGTGACGATTACTGCTATCAGCTACAAACATAGGTTCCTTATCTGCCACACAAGAGGGGCCAAATAAAAACTGGGACTCCAGGCTTATGGCAAGTAAAGGGTTTTTATTTTGGGTGACATCAGCCAGGAGACGAGAGTGAGCCCTCCGATTCATTTCGTCTCGTCTCCCCGAAAGATGGGAGGCGAGGGGTATTAAAGGTTGCAAGGAATGTGGCTGCCTGTAGCGGGGGATGGGGAGCGAGTCCGCGGCCTGGCTGGTCTGGCGCTTTCCCACAGGCCTGCGTTTTCAGCCTCAGGAGGCTGCTTATGGAGAGGAGATGATAAGGGAATTTGCTGGTGGGCGACCCTGGCTGTCTGTCCCCATGGCGCATAGTGGATTCTGGAGCCCGGGCGACAATAACAAGAACAGCCAGCTTTGGGGATAAAAAGAGGAGCCAGCTGAAGCTGTGTTCAATTTCTGCCCCGTGCCTTCCTGGCTGGGTGGCTTAGGACAAGGGACTCACCCTCTCTGAGCCTCGGTTTCCTCCTCTGTGTAGCGGGGGTGATGGCGTCCCCCTCTGCAGGACCGTTGTAAGGAACTGAGATGGTACGTGTGTGAGGCCGGCAGATGCTTTAAGTAGCAGCGATGGCCGTGAATGTGATTTGTCACGTTTTTATTCTCGGAGGACCGGTGGCTTGGAGTGGGCTAGAGGGACGCGGAGGAGCTGGCTGGTGGGAAGGGGGAGGTGTTTGGGGAGCAGGGCATGCATGTGCAAAGGTCCAGAGCACAGAGAGGGCAGGGTGAGGGGGAAACTGGTTCACTGGGTCCCAGAGAGCTGCCTCCTCTCAGTGCGAGGGAAAAAAAACTAAATCTTGTAGCACCTGGTGACTCTGATGTGTTCACTGAGAGTGACAATACTTCCAAGACCCCCTTTACTCATTTGTCAATTATTCTGGAAATGTTTATTGATCATCCTCTAGGTGACCGACCCGTGCTGGGCGGTGCTGGGGACACTCTGGTGACGGGGGCAGCCCTGGCCCTGCCCTCATGGGACTCCCAGTGCAGTAGGGGACAGACCTGTCCCCAAACAGTAATGACCAGAGTGGGCAGGGATGGGACGGGGGGGCCCAGAGGGCAGTGGGACCCAAGGGGGTGCCTGACCCAGCAAGGGAGTCAGGAAGGGCTTCCTGGAGGAGGGGACATCTGAGCTGGTACCAGGATACATAGAATTATCCAGGCCAAGGGGAGAAAATGGCCTAAGTGGGATTCCAGGGGCACAGACAAAAGCCAGAAAGCAGGAGAGAGAGAGAGAGGTGAGCGATGGGGCTGACCAGGTGACAGGGCCTTGAAGGCCAAGATGAGTGACGCTTCCTCGCCAGGTCCTGGGGAGCCACGGCAAGGCTCTGAGCAGGGGGAGGAACAGGGTCAAGTTTGAGCTTTAGAAAGACCTGGTTCCTGTGTGGTGGGGAGATGGGTGGGGGAGACTGAGGCAGGAGTAGAGCGAGGGGGCTGGGGCGGAGACCCCGAGGAGGGGGGGAGGGGATGCATGGAACAGACGTTCAGGAGGTGGAATGGCGGGAGTAGGGGTGTGGAAGCAGGATGGCTCGGCTCATCTCGTCCCGCCTTGTTCTCCAGAAGTCACCGTGGGTCCCACAGGCACTGAGCCCGTTGAGCCAGCCCCCATCCTCCCCTTGTCAGGAGGATTGGCCATTGGCCTCCTCCTGGCCGGACCTGTGGAGGTCGTGGGCTGACCAGAGGTGTGGGCTTCACCATCGTCTGGAGCCAGAGGTACATCCTGTCCCTCAGCCCCGTCCACTGACCGACGTCCCCTCGGCCCCCACGGGACACAGAGCTCACTCGGCAGCAAGACAGCAGCCAGACCAACAGCCTCATCCCAAGGAGCCTCAGGCTCATTCCAGAAGGATGACATCGGCCCCTGATGTACCTGTCCAATTCATCGGTTCCCAAAATGACCCTAGGGGAGCAATGAGACAGAGGAGTGTCTGGAGCCGGTCTGCGTGAATTCAAATCCCGGCTCTGTTACTCACCCACCAGGAGGCCCTGGGCAAGTCCCTTCCTCTCTCTGTGCCTCGGTTTGCCCATCTGCAGAATGGGGGTGATCACATTGGCCCCTGGCCCACAGGGCTGTCCTGAGGATTAAATGGACTAATAGTCCTAAAGTGGTGTCTGGGACGTGGTGAGCGCCATATGCATTCCTCCTACACAGATCGGTTGAGCACTGGGGCTACTGGGGGACAAAGACGGAAAGTGCCTGTCCTCAGGAACTTGGATCCTAGTCAGAGATACTGGCGATCCACGGGATGGCCGGGTACAGTAGACATAGTACATTGGGTCATGATGAGTGCCAAGCAGAGGAGTAAGGCCAGGAAGGGGGACAGGGAGTGTGGGAATGGGGTGCAATTTAACCAAGTCACCCAAGGCCTCCCTGAGAAAGAGACATCTGAACAGAGGAAAGGAGGGAGGGAGCCAGTGGCCATCTGGCCGAAGGGCATACCTGGCCAAGGGAACAGCCCATGCAAAGGCCCTGAGGTGGGACTTGCCTGGTGTGTTCAAGAAACAGCAAAGAGGCCAGTGTGGCTGGCTGGAGTGGTGTGAAGACTGGGGAGAGAAGTAAGAAATGAGCTGAGAGAGGGAACAGGGCTGGCGGGAGGGGGAGCGGTGGGGAGAACAGACGGTATAAGGTCTTGTGGGCAGTGGAAGGACTTGGCTTTTGTTCTGAGTGAGATGGGAGCCATGGAGGGTTTAGAGCTGGGGGGGGGGGGGGGCGGATCTGACTTACATTTTCTTCCTAAATGTTACCTATTATTCTAACACTATAATACCTTACTATGCATTGAGTGCCTGTTATGCACCTGCTAAATATTATTCTATTTAATCTCCATAAGAGTCGGTGGGGTGGGGGGAGTAGGCAAGGACGAAGATCTCGTTTTTGTCTAAAAGGAAACTAGGGGCCGGCCCAGTGGCGTACTGGTTAAGTTTGCACGCTCCACTTTGGCGGCCTGGGGTTCGCCAGTTCAGATCCCAGGCATGGACCTAGTGCTGCTCGTCATGATGCCAGCCCTGAGATCAGCTTTCCCACGTTAAACCCAGCATCTATGGGGTTAAAACCAAAACACTCATTCCCTGCTTAATCCCTGGATTCCTGGCTCCAGAATCCACCATCCTCCATGGAGACAGACACCGTCAAGGACAAGCACCTGGATTCATTATCTCCTCCCCGCAAAGAGATACAGGCTGGTGGGAAAGCTGCGACCAGCAAGGCCATATACTCCCCCTCCCCTACTAAAAGCCCAAATAAAAACCCTTCCTTTTAGCTTTTCAAGGAGTTTGGGATTTGAGCGTTAGCTGCCGTCTCTCCTTACTCAGTGCTGTGCAATAATAAAATCCTACTTCCACTACACCTGGTGTCAGAGATTGGCTTGCTGCACAACGGGTGAGCGAACTCACTTCAGGTTTGCTATCAATTTGGTGACCCAGATGGGACAATGTCCTAAGTGGATGTCTCGCCTGTGGCACACTGGCCTCCAGCTAAAGGCCTCTCTTGGAAGCTGTCCTGCAGCTGCCTGAGCCCCTGGTCTCAGGGACAGCCCCAGGCAACTGGCTGCTGACCAGACGTCGTTGGCCCACGGCGCTTTTGCTATGGTGGTGGAAGAAACTAGGTTCGGGATCCGAGAAGACGTCTCTTGTAAGTCGCCGGCAGTTTTTGTTTTTGTCTTTGTGTTGACTTTTCCAACAGGACTGGCTGGAAATAATGGGTACCTGGCAGCCCTCTGGGCTCCGTTTGTTTGGAAGTTGCCGCCACGCCCTAGCCAAATTTTGGTAAGTCCCCCGGGTGTGCACAACCGAGGTCCCTTGTCCTTGCTCATTTGGGAAGATCTGGATGGTGGATCCTCATTTGTTGGGCGCCCCCGAGTGTAGGACACGGACTAAGCTGCGACTGGAAGCACTTTGGTTTTTGGTTTTTTGTTTTGGCTTCCATTTGTGGCCGAGGGTTTTGGGGACAGCACATTCGTTTGGTATTTGTTGTTTGTCTTTCCTTTTAAAAGTGTTAACATGGGAGGTGCCTCATCTATTCCACCTAAGAGCCCCTTGGGAAAAACTCTGGCTGACTGGTCGACCTATAGTTATAAGCCAATGTCTAAAGAGGGATGATTTTCTTTTCTAACACCACACGGCCACAATATTCTTTAGACTCCAGAGAGAAAATGGCCAAACAATGGATCTTTAAGTGGGGAAACTTTTCAGAGAGCTCTCATCATCAACAGCTGTTTTATGGGTACCTATGAAAAGATCAAATTAAAAGGAAACTATAATGACTAGTCTTGAGAACCTAATCAAACTTGAGGTCTCAGCTTCTTCCTCTGGTCTTACAGACGCTAATGAAAACGTTAACACAGAGAAATCAGAACGGGAAGAGCCAGAGGACCCATCCCAAGAGGATGGAAATCTTTAGCTAGTTATTTAAAAAAATGGGATAAACGGAACAGACATAAATAAAACTAAACCAAAGGTTTTAATAAAACACTGCTTAAGGTCAGACGGGCTAAAGGGACCCCTCTGTTGGCCCCCCAACATTAAAGGACAAACCTGTCCTATTCACCCCAGTTTGAAAAATTTTAAAAGTTCAGGAGGCAGAAATCAGAGTGAGAAACCTGACCAGCAACTGTTTGGGGCAACAGTTAGGCTACTAAGGTTGATAAGACTATAAAAATTAAAGTGTTTAAACTAATATTAGATGAAGAGGTTGTGCCAACTTTGCCTGGATTTTTTAGGGGGAATAAATGTTATGTCTAACTGGGAATGCTTTCCCTACATAATATTGTCATCCCAAAGCTTGTGAATGGAATTCTAATATAAGTTATAATTAGGGGTATAAGAGTTGAAAAATTAAGATAAAAATTTGTAGAAATTGGTATATTTAAATGGGCTTTATGTAAAATGATTGCATCTCTTTTGTCTGATTGTATTGTAAATTACGTTACGGGGATAAACATTATGTCTCACTGGGGAACATTTTTCCTGCCTGGTATTGTAAGAACATAGAAATCTACCTTTCAGGCTATGTTAATTAAACATGCTAAAGGAGAGCCCACTTTAAAATGGCCAAAATGGGCCAATTTCAGTTTACCCAAACTGATGTATGCAATTGGAAAAGCCAGCTACGACGGGAAGCCTGTTTTCATCTTTTGAGGCTTCTAAATAAAATCAGAAATACTTTACTGCCTCTTTAAGAGAAAATAATTAAAGAAAGAAACATGCCAGCAGCCAAACCCAAATCTGGGGCTTTTCTCTTCTCTCTTGCTGACCTTCCCAGCAAGCTGAGCTTCGCTTCAACTCCCCCGAAATTCCTGATCTAAAATTGAACAAGTAAAAAGAAATCAACTTTTGAGATAATGTGGAATTGTAATGGTCATTCTGAAAACCTGTTTCAGAAAAGAGAGAATTCAAAAACTCTCATAATGGAATGCAGTCTTGGATTAACAAGTCAAAACTTCTAAAAGACCAAGTTATTTAACATGATATAAAATGATCTTTGATGAATAAAAGCCTGTTGAAGTTTGCTGGTTTGATTTAAAATAGACACGTTCTCAGATTTACCCGCGTTGGCTATGATGCAGACACACAGCCTGGGTTTACTGGTCAAATGAGCTCATGTCATCTCTGCCACGAAATTTATCAGCAAAACTAACGACTCAGTATAATAGCTAATTTTGTTTAATGTCTCATGAGGTTCTTGTACATGATCTAAATATAATTGTTAAAGACAGATAAACTAAATAAATATAAAAGGATAAAAGTTTTTGGAAAAACTTTTTAATAATAATTATATGTATTATGATGTATATGCTTAAAACAACTGAAGATGATGGTTAATGCTGTCATGTCACATGAAGTTTTTAAGAGTAATTTAAACATAATTGTTAAAACTGGGTAAGAGTTTGAAGTACAATAATTATGTTTTAGAGACTACATACTTAAAAAACAGCTTCCAAAAATCTTTTTGGAAACTTCAACTTTATAGCTTTACTAAGTTAAGTTAAATAATAACAGTTTATTGGGTATCTAGGTCATTTCCACATAAGATAAAATATTAAAGGTTAACTACTAAGCATAGATTTGTCTGCCTTTGGTTTCTTATATCAAAGAAACTGAAAAGTGCTTAGGTTTATTGATAAACGTTTTATGTATGCTGAGGCATTTTCTATGAGAAAACATATTTCTAAAAGGTCTGTATACAAGGAAGTTAAAATATATGTTTTCAGTATAAAAATATAAAAAATGAAAATATTTTTGTTTCTTGAGTTCAGAAAGATAATTTGTCCTAAAGTACTGGGACAAATTCCGAATGTAAAGAAAGTAACGAAAGGTTTGTGAAAGTGAAACCCTGTGGAATTTTGTGCATGGTCAAGTTGGCTAAGACTAAAATGAATCCAATTAAGTAAATAAACTTATATGTCAAAAGTCAACTGGTACAAAATTAAAACTTGGTTTCCCCTTTCTTAAAAGGATAATTTTCCTAAACTTTTAATCTGCTTTTGATAAAAAGATTATTAAAAGGGGTTTTTTTCACTATTGTAACACTGTTTCCCCTTGACTGTTTCTGTTGTCACTTTGAATAGATACCTGAACATGGTTTCGCAGTGAGTTTTGTTTCCTATCTGAACAAATATTTTAAAGCTTTTAATATTTTTGACAATCTTCCCCCCCCCCCCGAAAAAATATTCAAGTC